AGCTACAAGAAAAGGAAAGAGGGAGATTTACTACACTATATTATCGCATTATAGAACTGCAGACTGCAATTATGTTCTAAGCTAAGGCGGGCGTTTGCTGCTATGTTCTAAGTGTAGTAAGGGTGTTGTATTACACTTTAGGCGGGGCAAGCATAGCTAAATGCATGCGCTAGAACGTTAGATACAAGGCTATAGCCTGCCTTAATTAGAAAAGATATTAAAGCATGTGCGAAATTCCTTAGTAATGCGAACTCCTTAACCGTGCGAACTCTTTAATAACGTTAATAGATAGCGTATAGCGCAAACATTAACAGCTCGCAACAGCAGACAACCGTAGACATCGTAAGCTAAAGATAGCACAAGACGGGTAGCTGTAGGAGCGGGATTAAGGATAGCGCGTTTTTTGATACATAATAACATAGCACGCTTAATTAGATGCTAAGCTCCGTGGCAATCTCCCTCCCTATTAGAGATACTCTCAGATTCCTTATTATAGATACGCTATGTTACTAGAGCTTTAAAACGAGGACTTCCTTAATAGAGCCTCCGTCCTGTAGCCCTAAAACTCGAAGACGTGCTATCTTTCGCGACCTAGCCGGGGCAAAGAGCTAAGACGCGAATAATCGTCGCACACAGAACCTTCGACAGCAAGCTTAAGACCGCTGTATTTTTCGACTTTAAATGCGACAGTGTATATAAGACTAGCTAATCTATTAATGCACCGTGTATATACTCTTATGCAATCGTGTTAGCTCCTTCTAGGTACTAAAGAAGAGGATGTTGTTCCGTTACGGCGGTTGTTCCGTTACGCGTAGATGGACGTTACGCACTAAGAGTTAAGTGCCTCTCTAGTAAGGGTGTGGCAGGAGCGGGTTAGCTATCTAATAGTTTGTCGTGGCAAATTTACCACGCCTTCTTTCATTACACCTACGTAAACATAGCTATTAGCGTACTTTGTGTATTGCTATATAATAAACTTACTATCGTGCTAACATAGTTAGCAAGCGAGCGGCCTACCCCACTAACTTTCTACGCCTTGTAAACTCCTCCCTATTATAGCTCCTCTAATTTAAGCCCTACTAACCTCTTCTAAGGCTAATATACACCTTGTAATCTTAGCTATTAACAGAAGCTAAATTTAGTCTGTAAGAGATGCTGCGCAGACATTTAAAGTCCCCCGAACAACGCTCTAACGCCGACGTGCTAGAAAGCCTGCCCAACGCGATTGCCTACCTAACTTAAGGAAGCTTACCTAGTTAGAAGAGGAGGTGATTATTAGCTATATAATTAATCTAGATTAACGTAGATTTTCGCCTACGTACGCAGCTATACGTAATATAGCTGATAAGCTGCTCGCTGCGCGCAGCGCAGGCTAGGTTGGACAGAAGTGGCCAGCCAACTTTGTTAAGCGTACAGACAGTCTCACGACGTGTTTTAACTAAGCGTACAATAGGCAGAGAGCTCTGTGTAAGGATCCTGTACTAATTAAGAGCTAGTTCGATCTAGTAGAGCAGACAAAGGCTAAGTACGGCATCTGTAATAATAACGTCTACAACTTTAATAAGGCTAGCTTTATAATAGGCAAGATTACAACTTAGCTTGTCGTAACAGCGTTAGAGAGGAGACGCAGGCCAAAGGCTATCTAGCTAGGCAATCGCGAGTAGGTAACAGCAATCGCTGCAATCAACGCTGCTGGCTGGTTAGTACCGCCGTTCCTTATCTTTGCTGGCTAGCATCACCTGTCTGCCTAGTACAAGGAGGATATCCTACGCGACTAGGCTATCGCAGTTAGCGACAACAGCTAGATAACTAACAAGATAGGAGTTAAGTAGCTAAAGCACTTTATTAAGCATACTAAGGGCAAAGTAGTTAGAGCACGTTGGCTGCTTATCCTTGATGGCCACGAGAGCTACCAATCGCTTGAGTTTCAAGAGCTCTATAAGGAGAACAATATCTACACGCTCTGTATGCTACCTCACTTATTTTACCTACTTTAGCCTCTTAACGTTAGCTGCTTCTAGCTATTAAAGCGCGCGTACAGCCGTGAGGTTGAGGCCCTGATCCGCTACCACGTCAACCACATCACTAAGCTTAGGTTCCTGCTAGCCTTTAAGGCAGCCTTCAATCAATCCTTCACGTCAGCTAATGTCTGCTCAGCTTTTCGAGGCGCAGGCCTTGTTCCTCTCTAGCTAGACGTTGTCCTATCAAAGCTAGACGTGCAGCTCCGTACGCCTACTCCAGCTGCTCTACTAGAGGCTCCCTAGGAGGCTCGTACGCCAAGCAACGTACGTGAGCTTAAGGCTCAATCAACGTTAATACGTGATCGCGTTTAGCAGCACAAGAGCTCGTCGCCTGCCTCTATTATTAAAGCGATTAATCAGCTTAAGAAAGGGGCTAAGGTTATAATGCTCTCGGCTGAGCTAATGCGCGATCGGATTACTAGCCTTAAGCGAGCCAACGAGGCAGCGTCAGCGCGTAAACAACGTAAGAAAAAGCGTATACAGAAGCAAGGGACCTTAACAAAGGGAGAGGGGGAGGATATACTCGCTTAACGCGAGGTTAAGCAGCAGATTTCTCGTGAAGAGCGTCAAGGAGGAGCGCGATCAGGCCTTAGCCGCCAGGCTCTAGCGCGCTGCACGAGGTGAGGGAGACTGGCCACAACTTACGTACATGCAAGAAAGATACTTAAGATACTGCTTAATCTACTATATAAATTTGTATATATTATCTCTTAACGTGGCTGTAGTGTGCGCTTAGATAGGCGCAGAAAGTTGGTGGGGTGGGCCGCTCGCTTGCGTGGGCCGCTCGCTTGCCAACCATGTTACATGTTTTAAACAGCAACTATCCTATTAAGGAAAAGTATCCGGCCAATCACAAACATCTCTGCGCATTGCGGTCGGCGCCTTTGTCGAGCAGCAGCTTCACCACCGTCTCGTGGCCTCCTTCTGAAGCCGCATAGAGTGCGTTGTCGAAGTGTCCGCCTTGCACGTTGACGTCCGCACCTGCGCTCAGCATCATGTGAATAACATCCAAGTGAGCCTCGAGACATGCGTGGTACAGTGGAGATCCGCCGCTTCCGTCTCTCTCATTGACGTCGCATCCTGCGCCCAGCAGCCGAACAACAGCACTGTTTAGCCCTGCAGAAGATGCGAGGTGTAAAGCATATGTTGGGGGTGCATCGTCCACCCAACGCTGCCTTACAGAAGGAGCGTTGTACAGACTGGTTGTCGCATGCCAAGCGCTTTCATGAACCTAAACTCTGTTACTAAGCATGCCGTGCGAGGGCCTGAATATAAGCTGAGCTATGATGCAAGAACAATACAATAACATACACACACTTCATAATTTCTCGTACTTGCAACACCGCACCCAACCGTGCGACACTGGTACTATAGACGATTGTGCTAGCTGATACCGAGAACTGCAAACGATCAAAGTGTCGTATAACGCTGCCATAGTCGAACCCCTCTCGCAACATCTTTATCTGCAGAACGGCTGCAAGGTACTGGATCTCTTTCTGAAAGATTTCCTCCAATTGTACCACAGCATCCGGAGAAATGTCTTTGCATTTCACAATATGATGATCAAAGCTTTGACATGCGTAGTCTGCGAAGCTACTGTCTCGAAGGCGCTTGTGAAGATCATAGTGATGTTTGGCTGGTCTATCGAATGCGCTCAGATGAATGTATGCAAGACACACTAGGCTTAGTCGAGCGTGCATAGAACTGGAGTCCACAAGCTGTGCCCTCACAGTGCCGAGTGACTGTCCTTCAACCGCATATACCGATCCCAAAACCATCATCGGCGCGATTTTTGGCACGGGATGTAGTGCTGCGTACATGGCTAGTGTATCCGATATTCGCAAACTTGATGCTAGCAGGGAGGCACGTGGGTATGACGGGGAGAAAATGGCGATTAATTGCGAGTACGGCGCATTTGATAATGCGCATTGCGTATTGCCCGCGGACGAAATTTGATGAGAAAATCGTTGAAGCGAGTCCGAGGCCGGGCTAACAGGCATTCGAGAAGTTATCCGCTGGGTTGTATCTTGGTGAAACTTTCCGTCTTATCCGACTCGATCTCGTTAATCGCCAATTACTCTTCCCAAACTAAGACGCGACGAAACTAAAAAAAAGCATACACGCTTGATACGGCTTTCTTATCAAACATCGAAAACGACGAATCACACCGCTTCGACGATACACGCAGTTTATTCAAATCAACCCTTCTTATTTAACTATCGGACGCAGAAATCGAATACTCGCGCCGCGTCGCCGAAATGGTGGCGGTGAGAGGCGCGAGGCTATGTGCATGTGGTGTTGCGGCGATATGTGGGATGGAAGGGATTGAGCAGGGACATGTTGCGGCGGATAGGAGTGTAGCGATTAAGCATCTAGGGTTTAGGAAGAGGTGGGGGCGGCGATAGGGAAGATACTTAGGTAGAATGAAGGAGAGGAGGATAAGTAAGGGAGGATTAGTATTGTAGGTGCGGAGGATGGGAGTGGGGTAGGGTGTGCGGTTGTGGTTAGTATAGAGATTAAGAGGAGGGGGAGGGCAAGGGTAATGTGAGATTAGGCTTAGACTAGTTTCGGCGGATTAGACCTAGTTAGTTGCTACTAGAGCTTCTTTTTAGAGTAACTGTATTATCTAGGAGGCTGTCGATTATTTATACGTATTCTGCCAACTCGTAGAAAGGTGCGAAGAGCCTTAGGAATTCTTATATACAAATGACTGGCCAAACAACAAAACTTCGCGGCCTAGTATATTTTGCTATCATGATTGCTAGACGAAACATGAGCACAGAAGCTGGTGCTGTAATCAGTCATATGCGATTAAGCATCACAATACTGTTGGTGCTAGTCTTAGATAATGTTACACAGAATGTACTGTGCTATTCTGATCTACATATGTTACCTACAGTACAGACCCGGATGGTCTTTCGATCTAGCAATATATCCCAGATTACTGCCACAAGTTCATTCTTCAAGCACAGCGAGCGCCTATTCCTCCTCTTCGTCCGCAAAATCTACATACTTTAACCCTGAGAATTCCTGCTCTTTAGCAAAGAATGCAACGTCTTTTGGCTGTACTTCTTCTGTCGCTACCTTGAAATCATCTACCTCGTCTTTTTGGTTCATAAATCCTGCATCACCGGGCAGGTAACTTTTTGCATTTAAGTCAACTTCGCCCCGCCATGACCAGCCTTCCTTTTTGACGATGTGTAATCGGTACGCGAGGATACAATCTCCAAGTACTGTCTAAGAATCTTCGTTATGTGGATAAGCAATCAGGTGGCGTCTTCGGGAGACAGGTAAGAGTGTACTAACCTGTCGTTTCTCCATCTTGCTCGCCATTCGCGTTCGCTCCAAGTGTGACGTCCTCGGTAACGTGTGCTCCTCCACTTAATTCCGCACTGCGCTCACTCGCTCGTTTATTGGTATATTTGAGCCCTTTCGCAATCTTCAATCCCGTGACGATATACACCTACCCAGCTTAGATTAGCAAAATTCACCCGACATATCAACCCTATTCCGAGTATCCCGAAACAGGATAGGTACTAAGTTACCGGCTTATTCTTCAACGCACTCTTCACCTCAGCATCCCTCTCCCTCAATGCCTTCATCTCCTTCACCGTCGGAGTTTTCTCTAGATACAGCGCCTCCAACTCTTTAAATTCGTATATAGTCTTGACAGAGCTGCTCCGCTTCGCTTCCGCCTGTCCGCCAAATACATCGTATAATTTCGCAGACAGCCCCGCGTGGACAGAAGAATGATGCTCGCTCTCTGTTCTACCTTTACTATAACCTGACCCAGAGATGATGTTGGGTAAAGGGTCTAGGAAGGAGATCGGATCCTGGGGTAGACTGAGATCGGTCAAGATGTTGCCAATCTTGATAGGCCCGTTAAGGCGGAATTCCAGGTCGGGCGCCCGGAGGTAAAATTTCCGAGTCTTGGTTGAAGGATTGGGAGGCATGGTGGAAATGGGTGCCGGGGATGGCTCAACTCGTGTTGGGTGTTTGGTTTTGGTGGAGCGGAAGAGTGAGCTTATATCGGACTTTGGAGGCTGTGGATGATGGGTTGGCGAGAGAAGCGGGGTAGGTGCATAAGAGCAGCTTTAGCTTGCAGCCTCGCAGCTTACCGGTCAAGGCTAAACGCGAATATTCGTAGCGCTTTGCTATAGGCGGCGAGGTCTGTCCCGGAGTTGGCTGGATTACTGCAGCCGCACATTGATAGAATTTCGCCACAAGATAGGATCTGTTAGCCGCATCTTCTAGCAGAGATGAGCTGAATACCCTTACCTAGGTATGGTTCCACCTATTTGTGAAGCCAACTGCATTGTCACTCTCAGTTAAAGCAACAGCTACGACTTTCGCCGTATGAGTATTTCTGCTCATCCACGCAAGAAGCCTTGAGACCAGAGTCCGCAACAATCAATCCAGATTGTGAGATTGATCTTGTAAGATTGTCAGATTGAAGCTACAATCAAATCAAGAAGCTAGTCTTCAGATTAGTAGCTCAATCAATCAACCTATAACATCTAGATTGCTAGATTGATGAGATTGTGCTGCTGCTGCTGTAGGGGTGGCGGGTGAAGGATAGATAAAGAATGGAGTTTCTCGTGATAGCGCGTCGTGACGCGTCGTGCCAAGTCGTATTAGCGGAGCTCCTCTAAACCTTCTATCATCCACCTATATCTTTCGTTCTTAACAACGTGTTACAATGCCTCCCTAATCTTAAAAGAAGCGCAGCGGCGCACCTACAGTTGCTATTAAAGTTACTAAACGACTGCGCCTATCGCAGCGATCGCCGTCGCCCTAAGAAGCCCTAGCTAGCTAGGCCACCGAGTCGCCGTCTAAGCCAGCGTGGGAAACGCAATTTTTAGAGTCGCAACCTAAAGCTAAGATTACCGCGCCTACTAAGGGTAGCTACGCTGGCACTAGATTAATAGCAGACGACGCTAGCGCTAGCGCTAGCTAGTTAACGTGGGAGACTAACGGTGCTGATTACTTTAATAGGATTAGCTGGGAGCGGCTAAAGCAATACATAAAGCTAGTAAAGGCGCTAACAGGCAAGAAGAGTTAGATATATTAGCATAGCTATCGCGTTGTTAAGCGGAGCAACCTAAAAAGCGTGTAGTTTGTATGCAGATACTGCTATTCTTATAAGGTCTTTAGTAGTAGTCTATACGATATAACGAGAGCGACGTCTGTAGTAGCAACTTACCTCTAGAAGGCTGCACGAGGCTATAGCCTGTCTAACGATTTCGACGTTAAAAGCAGCATCGCGTACAGGCAAGGTCAGCTATCGCTGCAGTAGGCGATCGACGGCGGCGTTGAACTATCCTAAGAAGCAGTCAACGTGTTTGGCTACTTCAACGTACAACAGTTTCGACTTGCCTTTGTTCTCTAGCTCGTTAACAACAATATGCTAATAGAAGTAATCGTACGGCAATTAACGCGCAATATAATTAAGTTTGCTAACCTAGAGGCAGAAAGCGCGCTGTGGCGAAGCCTTCGCAGTGTCGCAACGTACGCGATAAGACTGTTTAAGTTGCTAAAGCCGCAGGTAGTCCTAGCCCTGTCTACAGCTATAAGTAAGATACATATAAGCTTTGACGGCTAGACGACAAAAGGCGGCAAGCGTGGCTTCTTTGGTATTGTTTCTCACTTTGCTACTACTGCTAGCGTTATACACGACCTCCCTATTAGCCTCCTACAACTCGCTAGCGCGTACACAGGCAAGGCTATTACTGCTATTGTTGTTAAAACGCTAAAACAGTTTAGGATTACGCCTAATTAATTAGGTTACTTTATTCTTAACAACGCGTTAAATAACAACACTACAGTTGCTGCAATCGCGCGCGACTACGGTAGCTTTAACCCTGCGCACTAGCGCCTCCGCTACGGTCCTTATACGATTAATCTTATCGGCTAAGCACTCCTCTTTGGCGACGACAAGGACTTGTACAATAACGTTGCAGCTGAGCTTAAAAGAGAAGAGTTATATATAAGAGAATAGCGGCAGCATGGGCAACTAGGCACTCTTATTGCTGTAATTAACTACATTAGAACACCGCAGCAACATGAGCTTTTTGAGGACTGCTAGCGAGAGGCTAATAAAGAGTTGCTAGCAGATAAGCAGGTCCTAGTCCTTGCGCCTGTACGGCTAGTTGTCACTTAATAGAACTCCTACTTTGCCGCAATTAAGCGCGCTACGTTGCTCTACGGCGGCTTTGATCGATATATAGAGAAGCACATTAGCCGCGTCGCTATAAACGATAAACGGAGTAGCAAGCCTGCTAACGCTCTAGTTTGGATAACATCTGGCGGCCTTAGTGCTAGCGACTAGGCAACAATTAGGGAGTACTAAAACTGCCTTTAGCCGCTTAAAATTGCGACAAAGAGGCTAGAAGAACGCAGCGACAGCAGCAGCTTTAGCGCTATATACGAGGTGCTGCTGGTCTTTGAGTATATATTGCGCAACATAGAGGAACTTGCGCAGCCGTACGCTAACGTCGATTTCAACGCTTATACAGAGGCGCCTGAAGACTACCTTTACATTAACCTCTGCGCTGCCTGGCACAAGGCTAACGATTATTACAACAAGCTAGACGACTTACTGACCTATTACGCCGCTACATGCCTTTACCCCTACTATAAATACTACTGCGAAAACAGTTGGCGTGATAAGCTGGAGTGGCTACGCGTTGCTAATGACGGCTTTTAGCGCCTTTGGTAAGGCTATAAGCAGCTGCAGCCGCAGCCCCTATCGCCTTAGTTGTTTACAACAAGAACAAGCAATATAGATGACGTGATTAGAGCTTTTACGCGTCGCAGCGTTACAGGAACTCTATAAGGCGATAAGTACGATCGTTGGCTAAATTAAGAGCCGGCGTGGCAGGCTGTCGACGATGGCAACGCTGTCTAGTACTGGATTGCTATGCGCTTAAAATACCTGTGTTTAAGCTAATTTGCAATTAATATACTAACTATCCTAGCATTAAGCTGTGAGTGCGAGCGGCTCTTTAGCGAGCTTGGCGATCTACTTAAGCCAAAACGACGCGCGATCGGCAGTGAGTTGCTTACGGCTCTACAACTTATACGGGCATAGACTTAGGCTAGCTACACTATTATAAAAGCAATTGAAACGCACAGCAGCGAAGGCTTTACAGACGACTTACTCGCGCGAGAGTACGATATATACAACTGGGCAGAGTCGCTAGAGATTATGACTCTGGAGGAGTAGCTACACTACTAAAATCCGAAAAGTCCGACAATCAAGTCAAGACAAGACAATCTCAACTGCCTCACGACACCTCAATCCGCAATCAAGACAATCCGTAGTGCTTCTCTCGCCTAATTAAGTCAAGAAATCGGTCTTAGATTGTCTTGACTTGATTGTTGCGGAGTGTGCTTGAGACCGTCATCTCCTCACCTTTGAGTTCGAAGCAATACTGAAAGCAGCCTCAAACTTTGTCTGATCCTCTTCTCGCGAATAATGATCTAGTGTAATAAAACGTTTCTGCACCTCTAGCTCAGTCGAAAGCTTGTATAGAAGTGTTCAGAAATGATCATGCGTCCTAACATTTTCCTACGCTTCCTTCGTGTCATGTATGTTGATATATCCAATTACAATACCTGCAATTCTAGCCGCAATGGCGGTTGCAACAGACGTTCTATTTCTAGGACTGAACTGTTGCGAGTGAGATCGCCGGTTTGCAGTTGGAACCTGGACACCTAGCGTACCGAAAACATCGTCGTTCTGCTTGTGAGGGTTATCTGGAAGGGAAGGATTGAAGTCTTCGTGCTTCCCTTTATTGTTAGTACCTCGTATTGAGATTACTGACGGATGATTTGCTGGGAACAGCTTAAGCTTGCTCCTACCTAGATTGGAAGCTGCGGCAAATATTAAGAGGTTCTGGTTTCGATGCGAAAGGGCGTTGCTAATGGCGTTGCTGACAATGCGATTCTTAGCGACATATTGCTCTTGCTCCCATCCTAGAGATAGGGAGATGATGTCGGCCTTTCGCTCCTTGATAGCCTATGTGATAGCCTACAATGTCTAGGTCAGCGGCAAACTCTATCCGCGGGGTGTCCAGCTCTAGTACCTTGGCAAGATTGTTGCTGGTCCCTCCGGGATCGTTCTTCATGTCCTGGTCTCTGGCTGCTATACGTGCAACACAGATGTTCGCAAATGGCGCAATTTGATGAATGATGGATAGCATTGCTGTACTATGTCCGTCTTCGTCCTGTGGGCAGACGCTTGATTGCCAAAAATCCTTCCAAGTACGGTTCTGTGTGTTCGATCCAGAAAGCACACCTAGCCGACGCTTTAATTTGCGATTAACAAAACGTGCTTGGCTATTAAAACTAGTGTCTATGACAGCTATGGTCGGCCTTCTATCGTCGCTGGCGTTGTCGGTAACATGCTTGTGTAACTAAGATGTGGTGATAGTATCTAGCTAGTCCCAAGCTAAGTCACTTCGAATCTTGTTAGCTTACATCTCAGCAGCTGAGGAACCAACTTTTGAAACGCACCTGTCTGTCTTCGGTACTTTGTCAGCACTATCTGTCTGCAGTCCATGGTGGCCTGTAGATCTGCAGCTCTTTGGTGTTCGCGACACCATGTTATCTGGACATGCCATTTCTTGAAACAAGTCGAACAGTGGGCGGACAACGTGATTTTCTAGGGCTGAACGTCTTCTAGTTGCATCGAGTTTCTCTTGGAACAGTGGACGGTCAGAGTCGATCGGTAGACATTCTTTAACAATACGTCGGTATCTGGCTTTGTGCTTTTCTGGTAGATCTATGGCCGGCCATGCGCTGTTTGAGCTTACTTCCGTGCAGCAGGATATGCAAATCGCGTTACTCTTCTCAGCATCTGACGAATCTGCAGGGACAGCAGCGACAGTGTTTATTGCAGGTGTTATTGATCCTATTTGCACTAACAAAAGGCTGAGGTTGAGAACATATGAGTAAGGATGTAAAAATGGTACACTATTGGAGCCTTCGGTATATTCATTCTCGTTCTGTTCCTAAGCTTTTTTTGTGTCTGTGGTGACTTTAAGAAACGGTGCTTGAGAGTCAACACTGCTCGTTTTCAGGAGCTGTATTGTCTCGAGGCTCTATTCAGCGTTCATCTACTCTGAGGGGTAGTATTGCTAGACAGCTTTCGATATGGTGAATGCAAGGAAGATCTTGTGTCTTGCAGATAGTTCGTCTCGTATTAGTGCCTCGGAAAGTAACTGTGGTGCGCCTTGCTTCGGGAATATGCTCGAGGAGAAAGATCCTATGCTCCAGCCATAGCTAGAAGAATCGAATTGCCTGATGACACGTATCTGGAAGCATCTTATGTTCCACGTCAAGATGTCGCAAAAGTGATTTAGAGTCTTGGACAATGCTTTATGAGTCAAAGGCTTGCTCTCTACATCTGTGACTTCTGAAGAAGAGAATTCCAGACGAGCCTTTCCTTTGCGCTCTCTCGGAGATAGTTAGCTATCGTACACAAACATGATGTACGCTTGGACCAACCTGGGTAGCTGAAACTGTACCGGTGTCCAATTATAAAAGTCATCATGCTTGTAAGCAATGACCGAGTCGAAGGAGTCGTATTGGTCATCGAATGTGCCTTGCCCAATACCCGGAAGCCGCAAAGCGCAGAAATACTGCTCGGACAGACGCATCGCTCCACCTTTCCCTGGGCACGAACACGGTAGATATGTGTTGTTGTGAAATGTGTTATATAACGCTGTGGTGACCGCACTTGAGTGGCTTTCGAGCTCAAGCTTGCTAGTAGTATGTCGCGTAGTGGAAGACGGGGTGACATGCGAGTCGTAACCACAGGCTGTATTACGGATAGAAATACACTCGGCAATGTTCCTCATGGCTGTTTGATTCGATGGAGACTGTGGGTCTGAAATCAGGTTCTGTATGAATCTGCTCATGTTCTGAGCTGCGCTTTCTAGATTGGTCGCATTGCCCTGATGCCTCAGTTGTCAGCGGATCCTACCATGTGCCGTGAGACTGAGATTGACACGAACAACAGTTTGTGAAACCGCATTTTTCACTTCAGTAATAGCTTTTGAACGTTCGTCAACACTCGCGGTCTTGACAAAGGCGCTGGCACTCAAAAGTTGTATGCTGCTGAGTGCGAATTTCTTAAGGTTATGTAACCGACCAGGCTGCGCGACACACTGTTGCGCTCCATCAGCAATTTCACCTGCAGCATGACTGATAAGTTCGTCATAATCCCAATCGTTCTCGCAATCTTCATCGTCGAAATCAAGTTGGAAGTCCATGGTTGTCGTTCGGAACACGATCGTTCTCTCAAGGAGAAGAGAGGACGCTCGGGCCTCGAACGCTGGGGCTCCGTTACGAAGGAGCTCGTATTTAGTGGGGAATCAGGTCCGTGCGTACACCTAAATGCAGCTGCGCAACCCACTATAGATAGTTGTAGCACAAAATATCACCACCACAACGTCTAAAAATGGTTGTTACTCGCCGTAAACCTTTCTAATACAAGCAGACATATAAGAAGAAAGTTGTGAAACTTCCCGTACCGAAATCCATCCAGTAACGCGTGCGTTCATCGCTGGTGCGGTTCTCTTCGGAAATGCTTCGCAACACGCTCTCGCACGCGCCCTCCACCGCCCCCAGGGCACTATATCAAAGACTCTGAGTCGTATCAAGGATAGAGCAGAGACTGGAGGCTTTGATTTATGGGATCCAGCTCTTTATTCAAATGATATTGGGCGCGGAATGATGAGATCTATGCCGACGACGTCCGCCACGACCGCAACCGACGCGAGTGCTGTCTCCAGTTCTATAGAGCTTTCAGATACGATCATAAAGGCCCTTGCTATGTCTGTTTCTAAGAAACAAAAGAGAAGAACGAGTAGGCGGACGCGGTATTAGCGGCGGAGAATATATCTATCTGAACATCTTCGAATCTTATATGAACCTAGGCCCGCGTAGCTCTCTAAGAGCTTGGTGCACTCGATCTAAATCTCTATAACTATACACAGAAGCTTTAATATACTAAGAAATATGATTATCACCGTGGGATACGCTCAAGGGGTGGCATTGACGGGTTTCGCCACCGTGAAGGTGCTCTTAAAAAGGTCGCCCTATGGATTAAGTCACTTAAAGATCGTGGCATAGAGTGTATATTACTCGAAGATGGAGCTTCTCTATATAAATCCCGTATCGCTAATGACTATCTGAGAGTATAGGGTATTGAAAAAATGGTGTGGCCTGGCCACTCTCTAGACGTAAACGCATCAGAACATGCCTGGCCTTAGATACGGCGACACGTGACAAGGCCATTCACTCCTAGCTGTACAGGCAAGGAGTGTAAGGGACAATGGGAGGCAGAGTGGAAAAATCTACCTATTAAGATGATCAATAGGTGGGTGTTGGGCGTGATGGAGGTGATGCGTCAGATTATTGCGCACGAAGGAAAAAACGACTTCCACGGGTAGCTGCAACTCCAAAAAACTAGCCAATACCCAGCTATATGTACAATTAAATAGCCTCGCGAGTTCCAGCAATTTTTTTTCATTGCGTTAGTGTTGATATTTCGATATTTTGGTGGGCGTAGCACGAGATTTTGGAAGTTCGCGCACGGACCTGATTCCTCACTAAATACGAGCTCCTTCGTACAAAGGTCACCGCGCAACCCCGCGTTTACGGCCCCACGAAACCTCAGCTGAGCTTCCACGGCTCCCACGAATCTAGTGATAGTCAACCCGAAGAAGAACGACTTCACGTCCGAGCTGTATTGCTTACAGACCACATTATGACAGATAACCTGGGTATAAGAGCTGGCAGACCAAGTACAAGCGAACCTCTTCCCATACGCGCCGCTAGTCAATTGTGCCGAAAGGAACTGGATGGATTGGCCCGATACCCCAGTCTCCAGGAAAGTCGTTGGGCTGAGAATCGTGCCAGCGACTTCAACTTGTGGGTTTCCGGAATTGGCGCATGCGCAAACAGGTCGAATTGTCTAGATAAGCGCTTAGAGCGCGATAATGACGCGCGTAAGGTGGTCATTACTGCCCTCAGCACTCTTGCCATATGGACGGCGAAGTGTGGCACGTTAGCAGAAGTAGACCAACATACTACAAGATCAGCGCCTCAATCACAACAATGCAACACCATGTCAGCGGAAGAAAGGGGCACAGAATCTCTGGACGATATGACATTGGCAGAAGCAAAACATGGCATTGAAGAATTGCTTAGGGCACTTGTGGATCTAGAGATTGCAGTCCGAAGAGCCGGTACAACCTCTCGGGTTAAAAGGGCGGACCGTACGTTCAACAAACGAAAGGATCAATACGGTGAACTCTATCGACATCTTGGATTTATCCTGCGTGTTTCTCAAGCGCCTCAACGCAGCTATCGTCCAGCTGAACTTCAGTCTACACTTTCTGAAGGGAGTGAGGCTGCAATCGAGCCTAGACTTGACTTGCTTGAAGCTTCTCAAAAATCCGAAAACGTGATGAGCGACCGTCCACCATCAGGCAGACTAGACCAGATCGACATCCACACCCTCCTCACTCAATTGGCAGAAGAGAATGTGCCATTGCGCTTCGAGCAGCAAATCCTCGTTCATGCGAACGTACGACGTGCCGACCGTTTTCTGTTTTACAAGAACCGGCAAGAGCAGCTAAGATCTCGGCGAATTGCGGAGGGTTCTGAGCATATACGCGCTCATGACCAGCCATCTCCGACCCATGTTCCAGAGCCTATGACCAAAGACGACGAGCAATTGCACATGCCAAACCCTGTCACAAACGACACATCACCCGTTTTGGCAGCTGAACCAAAAGAACCGGCACGATCACAACATTCTACGGGAACCACCAACCAGGCATCAGACTATGCACCCGAATCATCACTGGAAAAAGTGGCCGAGAATCGTTTTCCCGGAGCTGCAGCAACGACGATTGCCCTTCGTGCCAGTTATCCGAAACCTCCAAAAGACAAGGCTCGGTGTCCTTATTGTATGATCCCTTTCTTAGATGAAGCAGACGACATGCGTCGGTGGAAGTAAGTACTATTAGTGCAACCATAGCAAGTAAACCGTTAATATGGTAGGAAACATGCCTCAGAAGATCTTCAACCTTACACCTGCTATGTGGATGGCTGCCCTCAAGATAATCCTCTCTTCAGCACATTCGACGAGTGGGAAGTACATGTCCAATCTAAAGACCACAAGCAATTCAGGGGCTGGACCTGTCTGCTCTGCAAAATATCACCGAGGCCTAACGATGAACATACTTTGCTGCAGCATGTGCAGAAAGAACATCCCAAAGCCGTTACAAAAGAGTCCTTGGCCAATTTTGTAAACATGTGTCGCCGGAGTAAGGCATTAGCATTGGAATGGTGCCCAGTTTGCTCGACCAAGGACGTGGATTGGAAGATGCAGAAAGACATTGATGTGACCTTCGAACCTCATATTAGGTCTTTCCTGGAGCATGTAGGGCAATGTATGCACAACTTCGCCTTGAGGGTCCTGCCTGATCCTGAGCCCATTTGGCACAGAGACGAGTCTGATCAAAACCCGAGTACTGTATCCTCCATTAACGATCGATCGTGGCCATCTGACTACCTACATGTGTCACATCACCCGGACGCTAGACTTACAGACGCTGACTTGGAAAAACTCCAAGATCACACTCGCCCTGATAAGGTTATTGACTTTCAAAGATTGCAGGCTTGGTGCGAGTCGGTTCAGAATCTGGAAGATCCAAATTCTTTGGATGAGACAGAGATCATGATCCCTGCCGGTAAGCGCCAGTCCCCATTTCGACCCACGCTGCGCTGACCACGCTGCGCCTTTGCAGAGCGCCCTGAGACCCCACCACAACCGACATGCTTCGTGCCGTTCCGCCGTGACCCAGACTTTGTTGACTACGGATCAGTGCTCGACCAGATTCGCGAGCGATGCTCTGCGCCAGCATCGCGGGTGGCGCTGGTGGGTCTTGGTGGTGTGGGGTACGTTTAGCATACCCTTGGGTTGGTACTTATACCTAACACATCTGCAGAAAATCGAAGCTGGCCATCGAGCACTGCTACCGCACTGCCGAGCTGTCGCCGGACACGTGGGTGTTCTGGGCGCATGTCAGCAACACGGCGCGACTGGAGCAAAGCTTCCGGGAAATCGCCGACCAAGTCAAGGTGCGCGGCCGGAGGGACCCGCAAGCGGATGTGTTCAAGCTGGTGCACGACTGGCTGCGCGACACGAAGAACGGACGGTGGCTGTTGGTGCTCGACAACGCCGACGATGCTGCTGTTCTTTCTTCGCGACCACGCAACAATCAGAAGCCGCAGGTAGACGATGGTGGCGACACCAGCAGCAGCAGCAGCAGCAGCAGCGCTCTCCAGCAGCATCTATCGCGGTATCTGCCCTCGAGCAGGCACGGCTCGGTGCTAGTGACGAGCCGGTCAAGAAGCGCGGCGATGCAGGTCGTGGAAGACAGCGATATCATACCGATCGAGCCGATGCACGATACAGCTGCACAAGCTCTGCTCCGCAAGAAGCTACGAGGCATAGCAGAGGAAGACGGGAGCATTGCTAAGCTAGCGGAAACGCTAGATTACATGCCGCTTGCTCTTGTGCAAGCGGCAGCATACATTCGAGAACGAGCGCCGAGATGCTCAGTGCGACAGTACCTAGAAGAGTACTGGCAGAGCGACAGCAGAAAGACAAGTCTGCTGAACCGGGAGGCGGGCCATCTTCGCCGAGATGCAGCAGCCAGCAACTCGGTCCTTATGACGTGGCAGATCTCGTTTGACCACGTACGACGGAGCAGACCTTCGGCGGCGGATCTGCTGTCGTTGATGAGCTTCTTTGACCGACAGGGTATACCTGAAGCTCTGCTCCGCAGCCAGAGCGGCGCAGCGAACGATAACGACCTTGAAGATGACATTCTTATGCTGCTAGAGTACTCGTTCATCACCACTAAGGATAGGACGGTGTTTGAGATGCACAGTCTGGTGCAACTATCGACGCGCAAGTGGCTGGAAAGCCAAGGGCAGCTCGACAAGTGGAAGGAACGATTCATATCCAACCTGTGCGCAGAGCTACCTACGGGAGAATACGAGACTTGGGAGACGTGCCAGGCGCTGTTTCCACACGCGAGGGCGGCATTGGCACATCGGCCTAAGAGCCGGGAGTCACTTAAGGAGTGGGCGCTGTTGATGTATAATGCGGCGTGGTACGCATGGCAGAGAGGGAGGGCTGACGAGGCAGAACAGATGTCAATAGTATCAACGGAGGTAAGGAGAGAGGTGCTTGGCGAAGAGAGCGCGGAGACACTGAGCAGCATGTGCCTGGTAGCACTGGCAATGGAACTTAGTGGCAAGTATAAGGAGGCGGAAGCGATGCACAGGCAGACACTAGCAACAGGCGAGAAGGTGCTGGGACGTGAGCATCCATCTACGCTGACGAGCATGAGCAACTTGGCTCAAGTGCTGAACAGGGAGGGCAAGTACGAGGAGGCGGAAGCGATGCTCAGGCAGACACTAGCAACAGGCAAGAAGGTGCTGGGACGTGAGCATCCATCTACGCTGACGAGCATGAACAACTTAGCGCTTGTGCTGGACAGCCAGGGCAAGTACGAGGAGGCGGAAGCGATGCACAAGCAGACACTAGCGATAGGTGAGAAGGTGCTAGGACGTAAGCATCCCGACACACTGGCGAGCATGAACAACTTAGCGCTTGTGCTGGACAGCCAGGGCAAGTACGAGGAGGCGGAAGCGATGCACAGACAGACACTAGCAACAGGCGAGAAGGTGCTGGGACGTGAGCATCCATCTACGCTGACGAGCATGAACAACTTAGCGCTTGTGTTGGACAGCCAGGGCAAGTACGAGGAGGCGGAAGCGATGCACAGGCAGACACTAGCAATAAGCGAGAAGGTGCTTGGGCATGAGCATCCATCTACGCTGACGAGCATGAGCAACTTGGCTCAAGTGCTGAACAGGCAGGGCAAGCACAAAGAAGCGGAAGTGATGCACAGACAGACGCTGGCGCTGAGGGAGAAGGTGCTTGGGCATGAGCATCCATCTACACTGACGAGCATGAACAACTTAGCGCAAATGCTGAACAGGCAGGGCAAGCACGAAGAAGCGGAGGTAGCCTCGTCGTCTTTACTCCAGCGGACCAATATGGCAGAGACTGCCGGTCTTGTTGTCGGTGTTGTCACCCTCGCTGGCCTTTTCAACACCACAGTTGAGTGCTTTGAGTTTGTCCAGCTCGGCCGCGCATTTGGAAAGAGCTTCCAAACCAGTCAGCTCAAACTGGACAACGCAAGACTTCGATTGTCGCGGTGGGGCAAGTCTTTGGGTCTAGATGATGTCCGAAATACGGTATCGCTTCAGGGGCGTTTTGGGTCGGAGGCAAACGTCAAGCACGCTAAAGCCTTGCTGGGCCAGATCGTAGAACTGTTCGCGGAAGCTGAAGGTGTGTCGAACAGATACAGGGGCCGCACAGAGCCTCAGGACAGCAGCCTTGCGGTATACAATCCACAAATCGACCTGGATCCGGCGATGGCTATGCTCCATGAGAAAATGCGCCAGCTAGCCATTGAGCGCCAGAGCTGGTCTGGTATACGGCAAAAGGCCAAGTGGGCGTTGTATCAGGAGAAGCAGTTTAGACGACTGATTGAGGACATCACAGAGTTGGTCGAAGACTTGGACGTCCTTTTCCCCGCCGTTCAGCATTTCCAGCGCGACCTCTGCGACATCGAAGTATCTACCATCGGGGAAGGTCAAGGCATGTCTGTATTAAGAGAAATTGCCGCTACGCAGGACAAACTGTTAGAACAGGCTATCATGAGGAGTACGCAGAGTGCGGACAAGTCGCACCACATCATCTTTTCAGGCAGTGGTAATACTGGCCTTCAGCTGGGCCATAACTCTGGCACAATGTCAGGGTTCACATTTGGGAGAGCCAATTGAACCTGGTGAAGGACTGCAAAGGAGGGTAATTGGGTGACATAGGGTTTGTGAGCTATAGAAGAATGACGCTCCATGCCGGTCAATCACGAAACCATGAATTACACACTCTTAGTGTTCTTAGCAGCACTACAGATGAGTATGCAGTGCTGGGCAGAACGCATGCGAAGGAACAGCGCGCTAACGACAAGAACAGACTGGCGGCCAGCTGCAGCGCTCGCCCAGCCAGCCTTGTGCGCACGAGCAATTGTACCACAGCACGCGGCTCTCCACACTGCAAGGAAGCAGGGCTGCGGGTTGGAAACAACGCCCAGCGCCATTGTAATTCACATCCATGCTATTGGTACCTGCCCGACGCTGCGGTAATTATCCGCGCTCTGCAGAACGGCATTAGGCTCCACAACCTCCTGCTTTGTGCCGCAGATTTCGTTAGTCGCGGAGCGCGGCTGGAGAAGGCCAGCTTAGCGAGTTTTACATGGGACGGCGTTGGAGTCTTCGCCGCACGGTAGCGTGAAGCTAGCTATCTTCAGAACAGTACATGCAGTGCTCTTCTAGAAGCATCCACAGGCAAAGGGCTATTTAGCAATCGAGCGACGTGCGGAGGCAGCCTCGCGTGTCGTACGTTCAAGACTCTGGTACCACGATCGTTGAGATAGACCCTGCCAGCAAGGCACTTGCGGAGGCTCCCCTAAACGACGGAGAAACATGGGCTGCCCGATCCGACACTAGCGGTGTTACGACCACGACGCTATACAACCGCCGACGTGAGCGGCCCTTTATCCAGAAAAAGGCTCAAGCGCAGCACTGCCTTACCGTAGAAGAGAACAAGGCTTTAGTTATCTTTTTTTTTACTAATGTCTAGTTTTGGACAACCTGTCCGCATCAAGTACATACCATAACTGGCTTTCAGTTTCGCCCAACGTCGATCCCCCACGAGCAGACCGAAAAAGCCTCCGCACACAGCCCTCATCCTAGACGAGGCTGAGAATGTTCTGTGGGAAAATTGGAGGCAGCCAATCACCAATCACCACGAGGAAGGGCGAAGGTAGTTTCGCCGCCCCAAGTTAGTGGTCATTCAGTCACAGCATAAAATTTCGCCGCTTGAGCTAAGCTTATGTTCGCACTTTTCTATATGTCCACCCTTACCGATTGATCTGTGAGTCGATAATAAGAAAGTTATCCTTTGTAGTTTGACAAGGTTTCATTGAGGTATCACCTTCATCTGCTTGACTGCTCACATAGTCCTGCTAGCGGACCAATCAGGGTGCTCGTGTGCCACTCTTTCCCACGAGATCGTACTTTTGCGAACCGGGCGGGGCCACCGTTCTCCTGATGAAGTGCTTCGGCAGCTTTGAGCACAGGCGCTCACGGAGCGCCACGCCACGTCCTCACCAGCACTAGCGCGCCCTGCCCGCTGAGCGACAATGGCAGTTTTGAGCTGTGCCCAATCACCTTCCACCTCACTATGCCTACGGTTTGCTCGTCGTGCGACACATCTTCAGAGCCTCTCCGCTGACCGCAACATAGAGCACGACGCGCACCTTCGATCAGTCTTCGTTCTAGACAGACACGTTCTGCTTTGCAGCATCTGGCAGCAGGATGATTCTGCCTTCTCACACGACTGACGCACGAAGCGGCGATGACGATGAACTTCCCGCTGCGCAACCCGCCTGATCTGGCATCGGTCGACTTCTCCCAGCCTGGATATTCGTATGCTGCAGACCATTCCCCTACTAGCTAACAAGCATACAGAGCCTACGATGTCGACGGAACCTTTAGCTTTAGCTCTAGCTTGCAGGCACAGCTCCCGAGCGATCATTCGCCATCACACAGGCCAACCTTCCGCACCTGTCCAGTCCGTCGCCAGCGCTTTCTAACAGCAAGCAACACGATGCAGAGCTTGTTAGTAACTTTCAGTCTGCTTTCGCAGCGCCCGTGTCGGCTATAGGTCTGCTGGCCTAGCCGCGAATGCGAAAGCGCAAGGCGCTGACTCTGCACGCAGACTTCTAGGTGCCCTATAAGCGCTGCATCCTAGAGCTGCACGTTACACAAGGACTGTCGCTACTAGAGGTGGGGCAGAAGATAGAGGAGGAATACGGGTTTAAAGCCAAGTATGTTGCTCCCCTTAATAGAGGGTAAAGTGGGTCTTTAAGCATGCTACTAACATAGACACAGCGATAGCGAGCGGTAGTATCGAACGCGAATTAGTTAATAGGGAAAGGACAAGAAAGTCAAGCCGCAGGAAATGCAAGTGATCGTGAGGAAGCGTTAGATGCGGAAGCTTGTCGAGACTAGCAAGGCCGAGCTCGTCTTTAAAGTGCAAGGTAGCGTAGTACTACCGCAGAAGATCGAGCGATGGATAAAGAGAAACAAAGTGGTTAGGAGCTCTCGATACGCTCTAAGTCTAGCGGCATGTAAGTCAGGACGTGAAAAGGTACGCTTTCTCGCTAATACACTAAAGCCACGCCGTCTACTGTAGAATGCTATACAATATCTAAGCGAGGCTCTCCTGCGATAGTCTCCGTAGACTCGCTAGCAGCTTCGATGTTCTCGCTAGGAGCTGCTTACTATGCCGCACAGAGTCCGCAGATGCTCTCTCCTGCCCTATTGTTAGTCTCGAGCATCGTCTAGCCTTAAGGCAGTGTCTTCGCTGGGCAAAGTCTAGCCTTAGCGTATTAATCTCTTCCGAGCCTCTAATCTAGCTTTATTCATGCATTGGCAGCCTTAGAGAGCTAGATAGACGTCGATGCACAACCCTAATACAGGCAAGATGAGGAAGAGCGCCTGCGGGAGCAAGTCTTCAGGGCGGAGATGTCGATAGGAACTAGCTCTTTAGAGTCTTTGGATAAGCTACACAATCTAGGTGTTTTGCTAATTAAGCAAGGAAGGTACAAGACTGCAGAGGAGGTAATCTGTAGGCTGGTAGAGAGTCACGAAAGCTAGGGCGGCAACGGCGGCGATAGAGTGGACAAGCTGAAGGCCTTGGGCCTTCTTGGCTGAGTATTAGATCGTCAAGGGCTACATGTCAAGGCTGAGAGACTGTGTCGACGAGTGTTGCAAGGACACGACAAGGTGTTTGGACTGGAGCACCCATACACGCTCACCGGCGTTAGTAACCTTGGGTCGGTGTTGTCGAAGCAGGGAAAGTACGAGGAGGCAGAAGCGATGCACCGACGAGCATTGGAAGGAAAGGAGACGGTGCTTGGGCGAGAGCACCCAGACACGCTCGTCAGCGTCGGCAATCTAGCTTTCCTCTTCCATCGACAGCAGCACTATCCTGCTGCACTTGAGCTGTATCAGCGAGCATACAGTGTATATGCCAATGCTCTTGGTGCGCAGCATCCTACGACTGTGGCATGCTTCAACCACTACGAATCCGCTGTCACGCACATGGAAGTTTGACTAGTGGCAAAGTCAGTCAGAGGACGGCTGGCTTTGGACGAATATTTCTCCTAAATCATTTTCTACCTTGCTCTGCCACTCTCACTAAATCTTTATGTGAGATATGCGCAGTATGCACAGCTGATATATTATACGATGCTGGGGCGCTATGTGAAAGCGCGTACCAGATACCTGACCTGTTAGCACCATCGGTTGATGACTCACTAATGTTAGCTTGCAAGCGCGGCGTGTTCTCCGCACTGACAGGGAGGATGGCCGATCCGCATCAGCCACACCCTTGTCCTGGAGGCGGTCAATTCTTGGTGCGTACGTGAGAAATGGATGCTGTACGGCTCCCCGATCGCCACTAGGGTACACGCGATACGGGCGACCCCATGGTGGGGCAGATCAGAGCAAGGGTCTCGAACCGAACAGTTCCACAGTGGCAATCAGCACATGACCCACAGAAACTGGATCGGATACGGCCAGCTGTGCGCGCTAGACCAGTCTGTCACATGGTCAAAGCTGCTATAATTAGACTCAGTCATTGTGCCTACGTAAAAAACTCCGCGCACTCCATCTTACCTGGCTAGAGAAACCACTGCCTCTGGCTCTTGTACTGTGAGAAAGAGAATCCTCCAGGTGTATACAAGAGAGAGAGTCAAGTTGACCCGTAACATGCTTAAGCTAGGGGGGACAGCTAGGTGGTGGAACACGATACTTTCTGGGCTTAACTAATGCTGCGAGTTTAAAAGTTGTCCTAGACCGCGAGACCGCAGGCATTAGACCGCTCACTGCGGGGTAGCAGCGTTAAGATAACGTGGAAGCTGAGAGCTGAAGTGCATGTGGTGAGGTGTCAGAGAGATTTCGAAGGTTACGAGGTGGCATGTCATAGTGTTCTATATTCGTCTGTGAGAAAGCTAAACGTAAATACTGTGTGCTATAAGCTCCTAATAGTACATGTAGTGCTACTCAAAAACAAAGAGGTTCTAGAAATATAGCTCGCGAATTCCACGGAGGCTGATATAGAAGCGTTGAACATTATTATAGACGTATGCGCTAAGGTGTCAGCATGATGCGAATGTCGCGTAACACACTCGCAAAGTAACCAAAAACTGTCTGTAGCCTGAGCAAACCGTAGTCGTCGTGTAAGTGTCAATTACGAGCCGGCGAAAAGTTCTTGTATTAAGGTGTACTATTGTGTGTTTACTCCGCGGTACCCCATACTACTAAACAGCTGCTCCACATTTCCTTGACATCCCGCTACCATATTGCTTAACAATGTACAAGGTTTGATAAGCCTAACCTATAGAATGCCGTGCTTTGCGTGCTACTACTTCGCTTCTCTCTTCAGAGACCAGCATTCAAAATAGGACCATCACATTAGTTGCGGGGAAATGTTAGCAAATAGTTTGAAACCCATAATTAGAACAGAGCTAAAGGCAAAACTGTAGAAAATTGAAGAATGCATGGATGCTCCTGGATAAGGTAAATGTCTCCGCGAGGCCACCCTGTCTAGTCTCTTCAACTAGGCCAGAAAGCACTGTTGTTTCCAGCTTCGACGCATTCAAGTAAAGCCGTTACGAGTCCATATAAGGCTGAAAAGTTGCTGGAAATACATACCTGCCAATCGCTTGCTGTCGGTAACTCGTGTGCTTCCATTACTAGACATATCCATGCCGTACGTCCTGCTAGGACTAATAGAAAGGACCTCCACGTTCAGCTACAGATGCATATACGAAGCCTTAATATGTGTAGCTCGCAAAGTGAGTGTTACTATTAGACATGGACATCGCTAAATCAGACCACTGGGTTGTCGGTCCACGACGGCTTCACAAAGATGGATTGAACGGTGGTTCGGATACGAAGGGTCGAAAAGTGTTCAGCTGCCAAGAGGTTCTTCCAAGGAAGATCGCGGAGTTGAAGTATAAGGAGAGGGAGAAGCTCGACTGGAAAATAATCATTAGCAACTTCAACAGCACAGCTTCCAAAGACTATCACACTTGTATCATCAACTTTTGAAGACTAACATTGACCATGCGCTTCTTCGCTATTACCACTTTGCTCACTGCCCTTGCAGTCGCCTCTCCCATCATCGACATGGTTGAGCGTCGAGGCGACAAGCCTAATTCAAAGGAAGTCCGCGTTGAGAGTACGCCTTCTCCCCTCATCCTTCGTTCTCTTCGCACAATACCACGACCGCTCCCAATCTTTCCCAAACAAACCACCTCTTTCTATTAATACCACTAACTCTCAAATAGAAGTAACCTGGGCTGGTACCGGATGCCCACCAGGAAGCGTAGTCCATGACATCGGCGAAAATGCTAGTGTTGTGTCTCTCAGCTTTAGCGAGTACGTTGCCGGAACCGGCACTGGCATGAAGGCCACGGACGCGCGCAAGAATTGCAATGTGCGCATGACCATGAGCTACCCAGAGGGATGGAGCTACACCGTAGCCAGCACGATTCTGCGCGGCTGGGCGCAGATTCCGAAGGATTGCAGCGCTAATCTAGGCGCAACGTACTTCTTCAGCGGCGAGAAGGACGATGTAGGTACTAACCCTTCCGTCTGAACGTATTCCGCGTCAATGGTTTGCGATGCTAATAGCCGTGTTTAGGCATTCTGCCAGTCCACCTTCAAGGGCCCCTTAGCGGAGAACTACAAGCACTCGGCCGAAGTTGATACCCTTGTGTGGTCCAAGTGTGGCAAGAAGGACAAGGAAGGTCCAATGTTCAATGTCAATTCTCAAGCTAGCGTGTCTTGCAAGAAGGACGCTTTGTTAGGCGTCGACACCCAGGATACTAAGTTTGAGATGAAGATGCTTCTGCAGTGGAAGAAGTGCTAGATGCGAGAGCATTAAGGACCGGGATCTTGATTAGTTAAATAAAGTGGCAGAGGAGGAAGTTGTTGCTATGAACATGCAGAAAAATATGTTGACGGACATAAAGGGTCATTTGTCGCGCTCAGGACACTCTTTAGCGATCTTAGGTAGTATTTGCCGAGTGATATTTGTTTCTGATGGGAACTGCTGCGCCAATGTATGATCTTCCCTAGCTCTTGTCTTCAATCGCCAATTCCATAATTCATCCGACATCTTCCTGTTACTGCTTGGTTGCTTCCCGCGATGTTTGGGCAATTGTTTCCAGACTTGTCAACAAGCAGGATCCTGATTGATTCCTGATGAAATTATGCCAAACAGTCAGGTTAATTACGTCCCCTTATAAATATCGATCAAACCAAGATCAAGCTTTCGTTTGTCCTGATTGGTTGAGAAGCTAGATTGTGTTACTAGTTAGATAGCTAGGTAGCTAGGCAGAGACCAACTGGCATGATACAGAATACCAAGATCTGAGTCTAGGCTTCGGCAAGCGGAGTGAGTGTTACTAGAAGAACGTCGTCGTTGCAAGCGCGTACAAAGATGGACAGGGTCTGCATATCTTGGGGATACAACTGTGGTACGGTCATACAATGAATGGCTCCTCACATGAGCACTGCAATCGTTGGGGCAGAGGAAAGGTGCTTCAGTTCAATCTCTGAGAGGGATGAGGAGTTAGGATCATCGATGCTCATAAGCGCTGGTAAGGGTAGAGCAGAGATCTAATAGTAGCTATACTGGGTAAGGTACTTCGCTATCCAAGTCTGCACGCTGTCCTGTCATCGATAATCACCCTTCTATCTCTTCACAATGCCATCCAATGCGGACGTTCATGACAAAGGTCTATACCGGTGCGGGTCGGCCGTTCTCCCTGCTTGTAGTGGCGAGCTGAAGTATTTACGCGTCAATCCACTGCTTACACAGAGGTAAATACCGCTAATTATGTTGCCACTAAACCCGTTTCGTGTAAGACCGATCCGATGTAGGTCAATAAATCATCGCATTAGCCTAAAGCAGGCCTACTAGGATACGTTTCATGCAGCAGTCTTTACGGCAGGCATCCAAGTAAACTGTGTGAAATGTGTTGCAATAATCGACTACTCCCCCAAAATTGTTTGCGTGACGTCGTTCACACGACTCGTATGTTGGTCCTCCGCCCTACCACATAGTCACTCTGTATCATCCCAACACCAGTCCTCTTATACTCGCCATCCACGCTAGTCGAACTGACGACCAGTATGTAGTACTCGTCAATACAATGTTTCCTTCCTACGACAACACAATGTTCTTCGCGTAGATCTTTACCGCTCTCAACGTCATACTGAATCCACCCTCTTTTCACTCCATTAGAATCCAAGGCCACATACTGTGCCTCATGAAGTCCAATCCTACAGCTCTGAAATGGCCATAAGTTGGTGATTATGGCATGGTCGCATTCGCGCTCGTCGTCGAACTGGAGGAGATCAATCCAATCAACATAGCCCGAGGGGATGCCCATGAACTGTATGCCTCCAGTATATGCCAACCATGACCAAGATGGCACATAGTAGTCGTACATAATCTCCTTCATCGTTTTGTCCGATGCCCGCCAGAGGAGGTTCCTGTGAAGACACTTTTCAAAGATGCCATATCTGCTGCGGCTTTTCAAGGCACCCGCGATACAATCCACCAATCCAGATATTGCAATGCATCTGTCGCTTGGGACTGTAAGGTCCCGCTTCGAGTATTCCTGGAATAGAAAGGAAATACCATTGAGGGTATGTCGCTTGCCTGACTCAAGGAGCCGTTTTGGGAAGTTGGGATCGAGCGTAAAGTACTTGTCCGTGGGAGGGCTGAGGATAACGATGATTAACTATGGAGACGTCCTCTTAGATGTTTTGAAGTCTCCACCTCTCTAGCTGGGTAAAATTCTCGCAGTAGATCCCTTCACCAGATTCCCAGTATATCTGATTGGCGCTAAAGTGGATTGTCCGTCGTGCCAAAACCCCTTCCTGCATTACTCATGCTCGCGTGTTGAGCGGAGCTTTGCCCACGTCGTTGTTAAAATCATCTATATCAGTGCTGATATAGAACTGCTCGCCTGAGGCATGTTGAACATGGACATACTCGGGGCGTATGTCGCGCTCGAGGAACCCTGAGTTGGAGTCGATAGCCGCGGTTGCAGCGATTGTGCAATAAGCGTACGAGAAGACGCTTTTTATTCGGCTAGATTCGCGTTTCCAGTCCTTGCCATTGTCCCCGTACTGGATGACACAGAGTGAATCGATCCAGAGATAGAGAATGCCAAATTCTCGAGTCACCTTGACGGCGTCATGAAAAGTCTTCGGTAGTTTAGAGAGACTGAACCTTTCCAACCGTCGACCAATATTATCCTGGGTTGTACAGTACGCATTCTTCTCTTCGTCTGAGAGGCCGCCCCAGCAGTGAGATAATGCGATGCATTCTTGCTTCCTTGTTTCGGAGGCACGGACCAGACGCACAAAAGCTGAATTGTAACCTGAATCCTTGCAATCACCAACGTAGAGGACTCTCGTCGGCAATGGTGACTCAGATTCGATTTGGTGCCTGTCACAATGGTAGGACCTGTCACACCGACGAAGCCATGCGCGGAGTAGTGCAAATCGTGCAGGGTTGTTGTGTTCAGGTATGAATGGGCGGCCAATTGGGATTTTGGAATCGTCACGAACAGCGCTTTCTGTAGCAAATAAGTTTAGTTACGTTTAGAGTGCAAGGATCTTTATAGGCACTGACCTGGATCCGCACAAAATCGCAGAACGCCCGTGCCTTTTGCTGCTACGCTGAGTGCTGAGAGACTTCGTTTTGTATCGATATTCCCGTCATCATCTTCGCGGAAGCGCCGAAATGCTTGGAGGAGCAATTTGCAGACCGAAAAATTTTCAGCAGAGGTACGGATATCGGAAATGTGACGGTGTTAAGATAGAGGGGAGGACTGCGCTGAATTGACTATCTGAGGTGGGCTAAGCTACATATATAGATGACCGTATATGAGCTATCCTAACTCGTACTAGAGTTGATCTGGGCAAGGCCCAAACCGTTACAGGAAACACTAATGATGTAAGTAGCAACTGTAAGAACTTCGGATACAATCGCGTTGCAGCAAGGACAAGAGTGGACCGTAGCAGGTTACGCACGTGATCGTAGACGTGAGAGAAAGTCACGCGCAAAGACTTTGTCAAAGCGGAAACCCCATTCGTTGTACTATTTCCAAATTGTTATCAATATTTTGGTTCACATGAAGGAGGAGTTCAGAGACCTACTTACCTTCTGTAAAACCAGACACATTGGCATTAGCACCAGCCTCGCATCTCTGTATTTGCAGCTGAACTTACCTCTTACACTACCAGGCACACTGTCATTAGCAGCAGCCTCGCTTCTTAGCGTTCGCAGCTCAACTTACTTCCTATAAATTCATCTTAGTATAGTTGTCCACACCGTGGAGCAAATATTTACCCTCTAACTATATTGTTAGCTAGAATTAGACAATCTTGGCGTGAATAGCAAGGCTACCGTAAACAACCACTTCTCTTCCATGTCTTTACTCTCTCTTTTAGTAGCCCTGAAACGGATATGTTGTAGAAGATCCAGAAGGTGTTAGTAATAGAATGCCTCTAAGTGCATCTAGAGAAATGCGGGGTATACAGCAAGAAGCGTTCTGAGCGATGGAGAATTATTCCCACTGCCACTATTGACGGCTACCTTTCCTTCACGATGGTACAAGGCTCCATAACATCTGAGATCTTCGAGCAATGACTTACTGACGACGTACTGCCGTGCTTTGTAACTGAGTACTCTGTCTTGGTGATGGCTATCGCCTATATCCACCCACGATCTCTGTGCTGACTTTTGTGTCCCACTGGAGTACCTTCCGCTATACTCTCCTAAATACAACCCATTAAGAAGAGCTTTAAGGTGTTGAAAACCTGGATTAAGAGGTACTGGCAGCAAGCGGAGAGATTTGAGGATTACAAAAACTTCCTGTACTATGCTGTGACCTAGTCTTGTTACGGGGTGAGCCTTGAATTACGGCTCCGTACCCCGCTAAAACTATTCCTCCTAGAGAAGTCGTAGCGGTTGAAGACACTAAGCAATACCCACAAGTTTGGATCCCAGTCAAAGCTCGTAAGCGAGTCTTTCATTCGGTCACCTGTTGCAGCACAGACAGGGTTCCCTTAGCTCGTGAAGGGCGCTGAGCTAATGCTGCACCAGAACGCTCTGCTTGTTGCTTACATTCACGAGGTTGAGGAGCAGTTGGCAGTAACAACTAAGCGGAAATCGCACAAAAGGAAGCGGATCTAACAGGGTGGGATTACGAAGTACGGGACCGCAGCAGCGCGGGTGGCTGCTAAGGCGTCTGCGGCGCCTTAGCGACTGAAGAAGGCTTGTAATGGTGATAAGAAAAGAACCAGCCTAACTAACTGTACGTCGTTGTAGGAACTGTGGCAGGATTAGGCATAACGCGCGAACGTACAAAATAGATACAGAGGCATCTTCTGGATTAGATGTTAGCACAACGTACCCTAGTTTCTTGTTTGATAGTAATAAGATTGAGCACAAGTTGATTGTGCTGAGCGTTTTTGGGCGGTTTCTCGGCAACAGACCCAACTCTCGGCAGCAAACCCAACTCTCGGCAGCAGACCCAACTCTCGGCAATAGGCCTGGTTCTTAGGACTCTGCCTATGTACATGAATTAGCAATAACCCTACTAGATATAAATTAGCCGCGCGGACTATCAGAAGATCTATACGCACTCTGCAATTAACTCTATTTGCCTTGCTTAAATTGCCGTTGGTTTATTTTTGTGCTTATGTGACTGCAAGATAAAGTTGCTAAAGACAAAGGTAATAAAGGGTAGAGCAAGAGTAGACTTTGGCAATAGAATGTAGATAATAACAAGAAGGAAGAATACTATAGAGGAATAAGAGAGAAGGAACTGTTGTTGCGCAGAGAGG